AACAATTGAGATTTGGTCAAAAAATTTGTTGCAGAATCATACGAGAATAATGTCTAAGTTAAAAGTAATATTGATGTATTTTACCCTGAAGTGAAATTGTTCTCTCTAAAATTTAGGACCAAGTAATTAAGAATAATCCTCTTCCAAAAATGTCGAGTTTTGAGTGAGCAGACAAGCAAGAATACAGCACATTGCATGTACAAAATCTACTATAAACAATTTCTTTCGTTAAAGCAATTCTTCATCAAATCTGTTTCGTGGATATTCGACCAATATATAATTTCAAATTTCAAACAACACGTGCAAATATAATGTAGAAATTAAAATGTTGGGCAACCGTCAACTGATATGCCCTTGGCAGTAGGACAAGTGGCAAGTTCACAATGCTCAGGATCATTAGCACCCCACCATTTTATGTTTTTATTCTCCAACCCCAGAGTGAAGTAGATCAACACAGTCATGAAAGCAACACCAGCATCTAAGGCTGCTGAAAGTATATAGTTATATCTTTGCCACCACTTCTTCCGATATCTGTACACGAAAAAGTTGAAAACTGTCCCGACCAGAATCCAAGAATTGTAGTTCAATGCAGTTGCTGGTGGCATAAAAGCAGTTGCTCCGAGGAGTACGGGAAGGTTAATGAGGGGAATCCAAGATTGCTTAGGGAATGCCTTGTGGAACCCCCAAACAACAAATGGCCCCAATGCTCCTCCGAGAAAGAACCAGTTCATTGCTGAATAGTTTCCACGTTCGCCGAAAATCCTCTTTGGACTCGCAAGGCCCCAGATGACCGATGCATCAAAGAAGACACGATCGTTGGGACATGTCCAGGGACTGTTTGGCGGGAGCTTATCCGCTTGGCATATGTGGTCAATAGAATGCAGAAGCCACCATGCGACACCTATATTAATTGTACCTGCAATGATTGTTCCGAGGAACTGGAATACAAATGCCAAGTTCATGGTACACGAGAAGGGATGCATCATTGTAAGAAATAATGATCACAAAAAAACTGATACTGCATCTTTAGTAAGCTTTGTGAATTTTCCCTGTGATATTCTATTTAACTGCATGTTCCATATAGAGGGCAGAAGAGTAATGGATTATATCATGGAAGAAAAAAGCTGAAATCTTGTTCATTATACTATTCAATCACGTCTAATTCTCTATACCAAAGATGTACATAGTGCTCAGCAAATTGCTTCTCACCATTTCAGCCAAACAAACTTAGCCCCTGTTTGATGACCATTATTTGGGAAAAACAACGTTTTAAATAGTGATTTTTATGAGAACATGTGATTAAAAAGTAGAGAAAAGTTTTGGGTTTACATATAGAATATTTTGTTGTGTGAATGTTGAAAATGAATCTGTAGAAAAATGAATTTTCAAATAATAGTTGTCGAACAAGGGCTTAGAATGGGAATTCAAAATTTCAGATTTCACAGGACTGCTGGATGAGAAAACCGTACCTGAACTAAGAACATTGATCTTGGAGGGATCTTCATATAATGACCAAGCTTGAAGTCGCTAAGAAAGGAGATTGCTTGAGCCATGCTCATGTAGCCATATACCTTGAAACAGACATTTGCTATTGGTCTTCCAGGATATATTATGCCCATAATATACTCTGTGATAATATTTAGTCCTGGTGTCTGTGAAGAAAGGATAAGAACGTAGCAAAACCTCATGTTTATAACAGATCTTGTAGCATTGACTAGGAGACAAAAGTAAGCAAACAGGACCGAGAGAATAATCTCAAAATGACTAACTTTTTATCGGTTTATAAAAATTTATATGAGATCATCTTCCACAAGAAGTGGCAAAACAGAAATGAAGAATAAACCTATTTCCAGGAATTACCTGATTTGTGGTTGCAGTGATGATGCTGATTGGAAGAGTAAATATAAAAGCAAGAGCAGCTGCAGATAGAAGTCCCCAAACAGGCAACTGAACCTCACTTTTCTTGAAGATGCAGAGTGCAAGAGAGACCGCAATAGTCACCACAAGAAGAGAGTAAAACCACCATGAAGGAATATCTTTGTAATTTTTCATTAATCTTGTATGAACATCTATCTTTCCCTTTGAAGAAGCTTTATAACGATCGTATATCTCTCTGAAAATCAACGGCAGACAATTATGCTAATTAATACATAAGTCCAAATAAAAAAAAGGCAATTGGCTATCAGTTATATACTTCTGATCCATTGGGGGTTCAATTTACTCACCAAAGCAACGGTTTTACAAAGAATTATGTAATACAGCAGTTTGAATAGAAAAGTATAGAACCTAGGGAGTGTTTGATAGCATGAAAATGGAAAAAAAAGATGGAATTGGAATTGGAAATTCCAACTTTTGGTGTTTGATACCTTA